TGTAATAAGGTGGGTTAATACGTCGATGTATCATGTCCGCGCATATTTGGTCATCGGGCTGCAACATGCGCAGTCGTTGGCTGCAGCAGCAATTTCCGAAAACGGAAAATAGCACGTGACAAATTGTGCACTGAACACAAGAGGATCGCAAAGCGAATGCGGCTGTAACGTATAGGTGACATTCACTTGACGTCACTCGCTAGATGCGCTGGCACCGGCCACCACTGTCGCCATCTTCGAGGTCTCCTTTTATCCCACGTAGGTGTCAAGTGCTGTGTGGCCGGACCTTTCAGCGTGGGTTAGCAACATTTTACAACTTTAAAGGGTCTTTTTGGCCGAAACTATGGGTTATTCTTAGACTTTGGTGCTTTTAAAGCGCCGTGGGAATATTTTTTGTGTGTGATTTAGTTCGTTTATGTCGCTATCCGACTTTTCCACCGCGGCCGCGTTGCTCCATCGGCTCAATGACGCGCTCCGTGTCGCGCGCCGTGCCCACGGCGGTAGCTCTTTTACAAGAACTGTGATTTTATACTTTGGTGCTTTTGTAGCACGGTGTGATTACTCTTTGTTTTGTTTTGCTAGTTCCCTTATTGTTTTTTCTCTAGTGGACTTTCTGCACTACGGCCGTGTAACCGTGTTGCTCCATCGCCTCCGCATCGTTCGTCGTGCCTTCGGTGTTTGTTCTGTGCAGAAACATACCGTGCGGCTCACCGAGTGCGCAGCTAATTAAAAATGCGTCGCATTTTTTTATTAGCCTGAACGATTTAAAAACCGCATGCAAGCGATTTGGCAAGCGACGATACAAGCGACGGCGACCCGCTTCGCTGTAGCTCGGGCACTCGCGCGACAAGGCAAACCGCATGAAAGCGACGGAAGCAAACGACCAAAGCGGTGAGTGATAAGTTTTCTAAAAATCTAAAAACCGAGCTACGCGAGGAGCGACAGTGAAGGGTGAACCGCATGTAAGCGATTTAGTGAGCGACGGCGACAGCGACGGGAGTCGGCGACGAGCGACGGAGATTTCTCACGGTCGCTCGTCGCGTCGTCCGGTTTTTAGATTTCTGGAAATCGTCGCTCATAGCCTTGGTAGCTTGCTCCCGTCGCTTTTATTCGGTTTGCCTCGTCGCGCGAGTGACCAAGCGAGAGCGAAGCGGGTCGTCGTCGCTTGTCTCGTCGCCGTCGCTCGTCTTGTCTCGTGGCTCGATCGCTGAATTGCTTACATGCGGTTCAGCCTTTACCCACGGTACTCGCCGGCAACAAGGGAATTAAAACGGCTTGCCCCCGAGGTAAACTGTTTTCTCTATTCTGTTCAACGAAGCTGCTTCAACGATATGAAATTAGCACACACTACCAACTGACGACCGCATACACAAGCCAATCAAACGTCAAATAGCGACCTCGAAGTTGGCGGATCGACGGTGGCGCTCCCTGGCAAAATCGAACCTGCAGGCTCAGCCAATACCATCTATACACTCTGCATCGCTTCCCCGCTGATATAAGCCGGGAAGCGATGCAATATCAGCACATAAAAAAAGCAAATAGGCAGTATAGAAACGGACATCCACAAGTGCAGTAATAGGCCTCGACAAGTCAAATGTAGAACGAATTTTGCAGCTTGTGGTGCAAATGTAAGACCCTGGGTGTAATGATTGTTATTGGCTACTCAAGGTTTGTTTTTCATTCCGTTCATTCCTACGAGGATGTGCACTATAATTTTGTGTGTTGCTCGGTAGCGACGCCCGTTAAAATACGTTAATGGAAACAATACGAAAAGAGAGCGCAAAATCGTCGTCGTCCTCCTCCCCCCTTTCACCCCCATCTCATGAATAGTTCCGACGCATCTGGGCGTCATACGAAGTAGAAATGTCCCGGTAACTAGCGATCGTACCTCGACGGTGCACCATAACAATAAACCGTTCGGCCCGCGTCGCCAACTCCCATTGTGAGTATTTCTACTTATAAACGATGATACTTCTATGCCCAGGGTCGCCCTCGCTCGCGCATAGAAACCCTCCGTTAGTCATTCGCAGAAGGCTGTCATTCTTCACAAACAACAACACGCGAAGAGTAAACACTGGTAAACGTCCTCGGGAAAAGTGAATATGCCTCCGATTTCAATTACCGGCGACACTGGCGACAATCCTCTCGGGGCTGTTGGCGCAACAACGGGCGCCATGAGGGCGAATAAACACGCCAGAACACAAGAGTAATTCACACTTTCAATAACAAACAAATTAAGAACTCACTAAAGGGAAAACAATGAAGATACGATGCACGGGGTCAATGGGGACAACGCGGGAGCTAGGAACAACGCTGCTCTCCGCATACCAAAATGGGCGCACAACAACCGTACGCCAGACGGCGCGGCTGTCGCTGCAACACGCAAGATGGCGACGACTACGCGGAAAAGGTGTATAGCAAATGGTACAGCCACATGACCAATACATGCCCGAGCTTGCTGCATTGATGCAGAAAACTACCAGGAAAATTTTGCGGATTAGAAGCCAGCCCTGCAGCTTCAGTGCATCAGATGTCAGTGGGCGCACATGACATATGATTACAAGACGGCATCAGTCGGTCAAAGTTGCTACTCGACCAAACTGAACACCGACGTGACAGGAGCGTCATCAAACAACAAGGTCCACAGGTATTACGACTGAACGCATGACAGGAGACTGTCGCAGAAAGAATTCGTTCTGGAACCATTAACTAAAAATCAATAATAATGCAATCCAGTGGAAATAAACATATTTGATACACTAACCAGATAAACCTATTTCCGCTTGCCTTTACGCCTTGAGAGTTTATACACAAAGAATTGTGCTCACCACACGCGCAGGTCCTTTTGAGGACACTTGCATCTCTGACCCTTCAATATGAATTAATGGGACATACCAGACTGGCAGACTTGTTGCATTGGGCTGCACTCATTCCACTTCTCCTGAACACACTTCTGAGCATATACTTTAATCTTATGTGTTGATGCATTGTTATATAACAGGACACTTCCTCTACGTATGACACAATAGACCCTTTGCAGAACCTCATCAAGCAACACAACTGTTGCCATTTTTTTCAGCATAAAGCACACAAATGAGCCCCAGTTCACGTCGAATGCAAATGCAGCCTTCGAGTCCACTAGGCGCTGAGCTGAGTTCACAGTGATGGCGGACATAACACTCTTGTCGAACAAATGACCAAAGTATGAAAGCCTGGGGTAATTAGAGTAGTAGCTACTGTAATTCGTGTCATTACAATTTAGCAAACAGTAAAGGCTACAGTCTCGGTGAGCCAATATGCACGTTGGAGAGAGGCACATGACAACATGCCATTCAGAGTGCTCGTCTGCACAGATTTGTCACACACCTTCGCTCTGTCTCTCTGATTGGTTCGAGGGGGCTGTGGCGGTTGCCCTTTTCCAGGTTACAATGATACGAAGTATAGGCAACCCACACTTTTCAAAAAAGGCTATTGAGGAGACCGAAAGGAATGGTCAACATTTTTCAGCAAGACTGCTCTTCAGGCAAGGGATGAACACAAATATGAATCATCTTATCCAGGTAATTAGAACAAGTAAATAATTGACCGACTAATACAATGCACTCTTGATAAAAAAAAGTATTGCTGCAATAAATCCTACGAAAGAGAAAAAGGTGTAGTTCATCTATGCACACACCAAAACAGTTGTTCTTACTGCAAGTCGAATAGCTTTGAAGCAGGTGCCTACAACGATTTATTCATCTCCACACTCAATAAAACGTCATCCTTTTGTAGCTGAAAATAAGTGTGCACTTCGCACTCACCAAAAAAAAGAAAGAAAAGCTATCGAATGTAGAATCGTCGATTAGCACAAAGGGTTAAAGATCACAGGAGCTTCCTCGCTAAAAGTTGCTATGGTTATTCGGCGACGCAGGCCTGAAACAACTTCTCCTAGGCCCTAATGCGACGTATACCTTTCGCGTCGATTCTCAGACATTCTAACGTTCAAACAAAGCTAAGAGAATGCGAAAATTTTATGCTAAAACCACTCAAAGTTCTATCGATCCTTGAACAGATCCCGAATCCGAGCACCGGTACGGCGATACGGCTGATGCTGTCTCACAGTTGTTAATATCCAGATGATCCAGAGCGATCTTGCGCAAAAAGGGTATAAAGTCTCATTCCTTCATACTTTCACATTATACCTTTGTCAGCGAGCACGAAAAAGCCCGAAATTGTCGGAAAGCCGCTGCACATCACGGCTGCCGCGCACTGAACAAGCTCCCATCCACCAGCTCTGGGCACTGCCATCTTACCTGCGACGTCACGGCTCTTGTGAGGTCACGTGACGAGTGGTCACATTTGCGTAAAACATGGCGGCAACCGGGGGGGTGCCACTTCCAATTTATCACTCTAAGCCCCTCTACCTCGTTGGGTAACGTGTACATGTCTGCACTAAACCTTGCCTTCCTTCCTTCCTTCCTCCTCCCCCCCCCCCCCCTTCCCCCTCCGAAAAATCCTCGCTACGCCACTGCTTGAAGCTGTCAGCCACACGCAGCCACGGCCGTAAGCAGGGCCTTTTGAAGTTGATTTCAAAGCTACGCGCCGAGAAAGCGAGTATAAGAGACACGAGCGTGCAGGGACCTCACAACGCCGAGCTCTGGTTGTGATAAGGCAGATCCCCCGTCTCTAGGCCTGAAGCTAGCAGCCTTTGTCTTTCAATGCCCTCGTCGAACCCGCGAAAGCGGAACGCCTGGCTTCCGCGTTTGGCTTTCGCATTCGAATGCTTTCGACAAGTGCAGTGCAGACAAATGCAGCCTTTGTATCCACTGCACTCATCAAACGCGCTAAAAAGAGGAACGCAGCCGTCCGGCGTTTTGCTCTTGCATTCGACAAGTGGAATGGAGACAAAAGCTAGCTTTAGGAATTCGAATCAGAGCTCGGCGTTTTGACGCCCTCTCGTCCACTCCTCTACCGAAGTTTCTCGGCGCATTCTAAAGATTCAGTCATGAGGACAGTACCTGTATGTTGAATAGGTCGAGAAGTCGTTGGTCTCGTACCGTGAAACCGATGAAACGCAACGACGCAACTTCACCTTCGCTGACCGACGGCGTGCAGCGTACGGATGCACACACTTCCAAATCGAATGGCCGCGCGCAGTCGCGCACCGCGTGCAGCGCTGGCCGCGCCGCGCGCCGCCAGCCGGATGCAACTCTGAGGTTCCGCGGGTGGCCAAAGTGTGGCGCCACATGACGCTTCCGTTATTTTTGTTTGGGCTAGGTGGCGTAAGCTACCGCCCGATCCAAAGGGCTCAGCCGTATTCATCCATCCATCCATCCATTTGATCCACAGCACACCGTGGTTTTAAATTCAGGGTGTCGAACCGAAATTTTTATCGGTTCGGTTCCGGTTCGGGTTCACGGCTTTCGGTTCGGTTCCGGTTCAGTTCCGGGGAGTCAAAAATAACGGTTCAAACCGGTTCGAACCGGTTTGAACCACTAAATTGAGAACATATTTCCCGCGTTCTTTTGGCAATATGCACTATTTCCGTTGTGAAACGATTAACTATATAGTTTCTTCGATCGTCCGTGCAATTTACTTTTGTTCTTAGGTACCAAAAATATTAAATTCAGTTATTTAATTTTGACGCAAGAATAGAAGAAAATCTACATTGACATACATAACGTCGTGTTCATACGACTCAATATCTATTTGTTTACGAGTAAAATATATTTTGCCTGAATCAAAATGTTTAAGTACAAGAGTAAAGAGTTTAGCTTGTTGGTACATTCCTGTAAATAGATCAGCTTCTAATTTAGAACTATACTGTATTTTCTTGTCCTTTCTTCGTGTTAAAGTAAAATTCTAAAGTTCAAGCTGATCTATTTACACGGTATAAAATGTTGTCGCGAAGTGTGGTAGGTCGTCTAAAATACCCGTGATTGGTACAACTTTGTGTGTCAGTATTAAAAGTGAAATTGTGTCACTGAACTAAGCAATTAATTACATCACATAAAAATATGAAATGAGCATGCACCTCGTGGCCATATATCATGAAATAAGGTTTACGAAGTACACTTCACAATATATATATATATATATATATATATATATATATATATATATATATATATGATGACGACCCAACTGAGCTAAAAGCAATGAAATTTTCGAAATGTAACAAAGTTTTAGGATAACTCCTTTCAGTCTATCTTTTATAGAAACACCGAGCGGCAATTCAAATGCCTGTTGTTCTAACCAAACCTTGTTTACTCTCAGTACCGCACGCATGCGACTAATCATGGAGCAAGGAGTAATTGCAATTTTTCACTCTAATATATAGGCACCTTCGCACTCAGATCGAATCTGGCCCAAAATAGCGCTTGCCCAAGTGAACATTTTCTTATACAGAATAAGCTGGCATAGCCTGGCTGTTGAGGTTTGTTGTTGACAAGATGCCGGACAATTTAATTTGCAAATGAGCATCACCCTTGCTAATTGATGATTTTAACACAATAGCGTTAGCGAGCTCATGTCGCAGAAAAACCGATGTCGGTGGCGTGACTGGAAAATCCTGATGGGTCGATAGGTTCATGACGTCAGAGCTACATACCCTAGCGCAAGAATTTCAAACAACCCACAATGCTTACGTGAAACGTGACATCACGCGTGGAATGAGGGTGATTAAAACATGATATGTAATGCGAAATAAAAGGTCACCGTATGTTTCAAATGATTTCACTTTTGAAAGTAATTCCTTTGCCTTAAAGAAAAAAATTAAAAATTTTAGGCAGGATTCGAACCCACAACCCTTTAGTTGCGAGTCAGACGCTTTTCACTAGGCCACGCGAGGCACGCTTGCGCGGCAAATGAGAATGCGATGCAAACGAGGCCCGTTGACGCGATCGCGTTCCACTTTTAAAGGCGAAGCTTAAGCGTCCTTCAAAATTATTTTTTGTTTAGTAAAACGAAGTAGTATTTCACGTTCTACTCGATAAGGCAGCTACTTAATTGGACACTTTCTGACGGTTTGCGTGCGTAATCATCATAGTTCCACCGCGTGCCCCTGTTTACTTTTTTTTCGTCCAGCCCCACAGACACATAAAACTAATGTTCATCAGATAAAAAAGGCAATAACAGACTAGTTATATGTGTGAGGAACACATAGTTATTTAAATTAGCTTCAAAATCAGAAATGTATGTAAGGCCGTCCCATATTACTTACAACATGCCTGTCGAGGATAAAAACGCCGGAAAAGATTGGCAGAACCGCTTTCAAATAATTTGGGGGGCATTGCTTTAGAGTGGCCGGCCCTCTATTTATGTTGTCAAATATTCAGTTAGTAATTAAATATATTTTATATTGATAAAAAAAAGTTTACTTTATAAAGTTCACATAACCGCTTGAGACCGACTTGGAAGGACGATACTCGAAACTACGCGAGCTGTGGAGTCTAAGTAAAAGTGTTTTTCTGTTTGCTGATTGGCAGTGTGAAACATCAGGTTGCAGGGTACGCTGAAAAGGACTCTAATATTACATTTCATCAGCTTGCATGAGCTCGAAACTTCCGAAATACTGCCTCTGCCTCGGGAGGCAAATGTTATATTCGGTTTTACCTGCACTTGTTTTGAACCCCCCCTTTACAGCACTATGCAGAATAGTCATGCGTTCTAACATTTCTCTAGGCTGTCATATCTCATCGCGAGACTGCTATAAATACTTCACAAATTTACGATTAGGACATCTATGGCTAGTGTTGCGAACATCATATTTCACCAGAAAGCTGAGCTATTTAGCATGGCATGCACGTGACGTTACCACACTACAGGCTGGTGGTCATTCTGATTCCTTCTTGCTGAGAAAGTCGAATTCGACGGTGCAAAAGGCACGCTGCAGGAGGTGCAAGCTCAGCGAAAGCAAAGTATTTGAAAGGCTAGTATTATTATTCTTAGTGCATCGTCGTGAGGAACGGTGCCAGCGTCTGGAACGACAAAAACGTGCTTTTTGGCAAGAGCGCTTTTCCAATCAAAGTAGTTTCCGGGGTCACGCTTTTTGGTCTGCGCCAAAGATGCAGGGAAGAGGAACCTTTACAACACAGTATGTTTCTAAAACTCTCCCCCCCCTCCCCCCCCCCCCCCCCCCCGGCCCCACACACAGACGCACTTCTTTATACAGCGGGGCTGTTAAGGGCTAGTCATGCGTTACCGCCATCTATGAATGGCGACGGCAACCAGACAGCCGGCTTGCCAGTTGTTTGGTTGCCACCGTCGCTCATAAATGGCGGCAACCCCTCCAGCCTTTCCGTCTGGCTTACCGACTTGCGGCCGGCCATTACTTCATTCCCACCATAGTAGAGCATTTCTGGCCTTCCGTCTTCACCAGAGTGGAAAGGCTGAAAGTATTCTTGAGGAATTGCCTCCTTCGTTTGTGTCTGTTAATTCGACAATTTTATTTGACACTTGTTAACCGCAACCTTTCATTGCTTTTATTTTGCACCCCGTGAGGTTTAAAGGGGTCATGAAACGATATCGGGTTGAAATGTGCATAACTTTTCCGAGCCGTACTGGTCCCCTGGTCCTAGTGTACTCGCACAGGGCGCCACTGATTCAGAAGCTTCTTTGTCGCGGTGTAATTGCGAGGATTGAACGAAACTATTTATTTTAGTCTTGCCTTCTCAAATATTGATGTCGTAATTGTGGGATCAAAACCACCCGCCTGTCGACAGTCGAGCGCGACTCATGGATTGGGCAGGAGAACTGTGTGAGCACCGTATATCGGCTCGTAACAATCAATGCCTCGGCGGACACTTGGGTAGTGGCTCGTGTCCAACCACTGTGGTGATGAGAATAGTCGAACTCTAACAATGCCTGGAGCTCCAGCACGCGTTTTCTTCCTTTAAAACTCCAGCGCGGTGGTATGATTAACGTTGGCGGCATAAGATAGGCACCATGCCACGTGGCCGCTTCTGGCTCCGAGTTGAGGGGATGAACGATGCTCATATTTCTCTAATTTTTTCGGCGACCACCATTGCCTAGAAAAAAGAGCAAAGCCAAGTTCAATCAGTTATTAACGTTAGGGACTGATCCTGAGTAGTATTTAGTAATGTATAGAAATATGTTATAGCTCATTTAAACAAAATACAGAGGGATCGAAACTTGGGCAATAACTTGAGAACGACGCTCGTGTGAGACTTACAGCGACTGCCAACGTTCGGCTCTTCCTCTCACGTCACTAAAATATCTTATTTTTTTAGGTATTCCTTCCGTACACACGTGTAGTTCTATGTAACGTCATATTAATAGGTCGCATGTAGTCATTTCAAAACTTCTATTCTCAGGGACATCTTTCGGATATACTTCAGCAACAACGAAAACATGTTTCAATGCCTCAGTAATGTAAAATTGGTCATGCAACATTTTTTTTGTACTTTCAATAAATAGTGTTAAGTAATAACCCGTGGCGTTGATAGTTTGCGGAAACATCCATTAGTTTTCCCCTAATAACAGATGCAGAAAAAATAAAGGACAGAGACAGCTGTCGATATCTCCTCAACTCGCAATTTAAACAAGCGGCCACCTGATCTGACCCTAATTATATACCGCCAGTGTTCATCACAGTCATGCCCTAGGCTGCAAGGGTTTGCAATGCAAAAGCTTGGGCTGAGCTTCAGATATTGTTAGTGTTGGGCTATTGATTATCATATCTAATTGACATGAGCCGTTACCTGAATGTTTGGCCATGCTGATTGTCATGAACCCGAGCACTCGACTAGGGGTTATGAAAATCGCTTACGTCACGGTGTCACGTGACTCTCGGTGCGAAATCGTGATGTCATGTTACGTCATGCTGTCAACAAGGTTAATGCATCTAGTGACCTCCTCAAATTAAATCGATTTAACGCAGTGAGTTACGTGACGTCACGAGGCCACGTGACATTACTTGAAAACATGCATTGACACCATGGCGTCACGTGACAACTTGACACATGGTTAATCATAGTGTCAACAAAGGTGCCATGAAAACCCACAATTTATCATACGTTGCAACTATGTATATGACGATTCGATCAACAGATAGAAATACAGCCGCCGATTGTTTATTCCCATATGTTCATTT